TTAAACTAACTCTAGAATTTTAATTTGCATTATTAAATTAGTAAGTTTGATGCAATAAAATAAATACTATTAGTATCTACAAATATACATAAACTTCTAAAAACACTGCTGCAACATATATATAAAATGGATCTAATGGATGTGAATTTACACCTCTCTAAAGGAAATATGTCATCAATAACAAGTTAAGTGCTTCAAGTTAAGAGTAACAATGTTGACCGATGTAGGAACAGTCAGGCCCTTAATGTCTAATAGTAGGGAATGCCACCCTACAGTAAAAACTTTATTCTCCCTCAGTCTACTTGGTAATCATTAATGCTTTACTACATAACACACCAACTTAAAATTCACAAGCACTATTTTTTTCCCCAAACTTCTAGCTTGATGATAAATTTAGGCAATACCCCCTCTCACTTTGATATAAATGAATTAGATGAGGAAAAAAGTCTATGGCCCATCATTCAAATAGGACCTCGATATATCTCAATGTGTAAAGATAGTATAGAAGCTATAAAAACAATAAATATTGCTCAGTCTTTATTTGAATACAGGGAATATAACATATTTCATAGTATCAAAGGAACTTCTGATTATTAGTATAGTTACTGCTATGCATAATCTAGATTTATATGTATTTCTATTAATGACAGTTAGTTAAAAACCAGTCAGCTATAACTGGATATAAAACTGTTTCTAAATAATTAGAAAGTTCTAATATAGAATTTCAGACAAATATGAAAACTAATCCTTACTTTAATTGTTGACCTCCTAAAATTCCCTACATGTTCTCAGCCAGACTGCAAAGTAAGATCCAGATATAATGCAAAAATAATAATAATAATAATAATTAAGAACCGTACTTTGTTTTGATTACATGCTATTAAGTGTGTATTATATGTTATGTGTAATTTTTTAAAAAATGTAAGTGAAACATGAAATCATGAGTCAGTAATCCATTTTGAGAATAACATTTTGACTTTCTAAAATTCATCAGGCTATTCAATAACATACCTTAGTATGTAACAGTATATAAAAGCTTTTGAAGAAAACATTCATTAAGTGACAGCAAGAATTGTGCTAAGAAGCAAGGATACAAGATGAACAAGACTCGCTATGACTCTTAAGTAGTTTATAATCCAGTAGAGAGGTAAATAAACAGATAAGATTTCAGTTCAGTGGGGTAAGCCCCGGGATGGAGGTAAATGCCATTGGCAGCTCATTGTAGAGGCCCCTGACAGCCTGGGGAAGAAAGAGAGACGGAAACCCACAGGGAGTCTTCCAGATCTACTAGTTACCCGCGTGGAGCAGAGGCCCATCTGGGAAGAGGCTACGGCACTAGCAAAGATACAGAAACCTCAGAGGACCTGTAAGATTCCTGGAACCAAAAGAAGCCAGAAAGAATACCAGAGAGCTAGATGTAAGCTTCACTGAATGCTTGGGACTTTCTCTTATGGGCAAGAAAGGGCCTGTGAAGGATGTTAAATAGAACAGCCACATGATCAGGTATGTACTTCAGAAAGATCACTCTAGAAGCACCTGAAAGCCGAAAAAGACAGTCCGGAGATAAAATAGAGATCCAAATGAGAGCTGTGGCAGAGTGAACACTTTGAGAGAGATGAAAAATTAAGATGAGACAGGAGTTTGAAATGGAGATGAGGAGAGTAGGATGAGTCCCTGCTTTCTGACCTAATCCACCCCACAGCTGAGGATGCCATCCTCGGAGATGAGAAGAATAAGAACAAAGAGGGGTAGAAAAGTTGGGAGAGGAGAGCTTGTGAGTTCAGTTGTCATATGCTGAGTTTTTAAACCTATGCCCCTCCAGGCAGGGCTGTCGCCAGAAGGTAATTGGATATGCAAGAATGAATGCATACTCTTTAAAGACCATCTGAATATGTCCGGTAATTGTAATAACAGCTAACATTTACCACGTTTCTACTTTAAGCGGGGCATATGCTAAGCCTTTCATAGAACTTCTTTTTATTATCCTCCCCACGCTACACATGAAGAAGAGTTTAAGTAATTCCCTTATGGTTACAGAGTATTGAAGTGTCAGGGATTTCTGATTTCAAGCTCAAGTCCTTACCCACTATACTATGCTGCGTCTGCAAAATCCATTATAGGTTTTAGGACCAGATAAACATGGGTTCAGTTCTAATCTCCGCTACTTAACAGCCAAGTGACCCTGACACTCTCCAAGCCATAGTTTCTCCACCTGTAAAGCGGTGACCTTAACAATTACATCACTAGACGATTCCATGGAAAGAAAATATGGAAATGTTACACTCAGTCTATATGTGCAATAACTGGTACCCACTGTTATGTCTATCCCTAAAGAAGAAATTCTTCTGTAATCTGAGCAAATTTCCTTTCATCCTATTATGAATTTTCTTTTCATTCTACTCTATTTTTCTGTATCTTAATAAAGACTAAGTATCATTTTTCAAAATATTTGAAACATACTCTATAAAATTTAATGTTATTTAAAGATTTCACTCAAATAGAAATCATTTCAATGTAAAGGGGTTGATTCAATTTTTTTGACATTTCTTATAATGATAAATGTCAAAATAAGAAAACCCCAAAACCATAAGTCATGCTGATGTTCTGGAAAGAGCTTTGGACTTGGAGTCAGAAGACCTGTGTGAAGTCCCAACTCAGCTGTTTACTAGCCATGGCATCATGGGCATGTCATTAACAATCCCAACGGTCCCTCTGCACATGTCTGTTCTTCCAAGTCTAAAGATGCTGAGGGAGAAAGGCTTTACAATCTTTATAAAACCAAAACCCTTAAGTCATCAACACTTGACACAAACTTCAAGTTTCCTGTGTTTTAACCCAAAAGTGCCTGCTCTTTGAGGCCCATCAAACCACTCCACAGAACAGGAGCTCCCCATTTGACTCTGACCAGATGATACCCCTCAGGTGCAGAGTTCCATGTAAAGTGTGAGGGGAGGTGGGAAGTGGGTGGGGGGTGGGAGTGGAGAGCATTCTTTCTTTTTCTCAAAATCACCCCCATTCTCACCACAAATTCAGTAGCTAAATTTGAGCCAAGAAGCCAGAAAACCACACCAGATTCCTGATTTTCAAACCTGGCTGCACATTAGCAACACCAGGAACTTAAAAAAAAAAAAAAAAATTGTTTTTAAACGTTGAGCTCCATAGTCCTAAAATAATGCCAGAGGAAACTATGATTCACAAATGCTGGGTTTCACTTTGTAAAAGGTCATATGAAGCATCTTTCATAATAACCTCATTCTAATGTTAAACATAAAAACATATTCCCTTTCACCTACACTACATTGAAAATAAATATTCCTTCTTGAGGATACACACGCAACTAGGTCCACCATCCCTGTCTGCCGGGACTGCACCTGCATTAGTTTCATGTCCTGGGCTATCCCAGGGTCTTGGGAAAACAGCGACAGTTGGTCAATCTCTCTCTCTCTCTCTCTCTCTCACACACACACACACACACACACATACACATGCATGTACACAAACCTTTAAGTAACCCTCAGTGTTTTGGAACAAAGTACAGATCAACAGTGGCCCTCTCCTGAAGCAGCACCACTAAAATGACATTATTCACTCAGGTATGTATATGATCTTGCTTACAGACCTCTGACACCACTGGGATCCATAAATCCATAAATGAGCAATGGCGTGGGTGACATCATGCTATCATCCATTTTGTTGGAGTCCACATTCCAATAACCAGCATTTAAAAAAATAACTACTTGGAAGCCCCCGCCTCCTAACTGCTATTTGTCTAGTCAGGAAATTTTTGAAGAGTAATACCTCTACCATTTGACAGACTTTTTTAAACTTTTATGGTTTTGTATTTTTTTCGTTGCATTGTGATGCCATGTAAAATTAAATAATTTTACTTTATTTAAGATAATATACCATGAAATTACGCAATGGTTGTGTCTGCTTGTAAATTAAAGACTTGGTTATCACCTTTTCTTTTAAATGAAATATTTTTAGAAACAAATTAACTTGAAAATGGTACACCATTCACCAGAACATAGATTCGTCTGTATTTCAAAACCAAGCTCGTCATAGAAGTATTTTCTAGAACCACATGATGATACACAAATGCACTCTCTTCTGTTGCCTCATAGAAACATGAGACTCTAAGATCAAGTTGTGATCATACAAGATATTAAAGAACAAGATCAATCTGCATAATACACACTTAGTGGGTTCCCATGTCTCCTCACTTGTGACATGCCTAGTGGTCTGTGGGAGGAACAGCTTGAGCCACGGTTAGCAGTAGTGTAGGAGTGTGAGGGAAGACCTTCCCCTGACCTCTGTTCCACACACTAACGCATCAATGCCGTGGAGACACAAATAGTGAGTTAGGAGCAAAGGCCATGTAAACTCTTTCGCTTTGAGAAAGCAGAATCTCAGAGTGACTGCCACCAATCTTGTGCATTCTTCACTCTGCACTTCACTCTTCACTCTGCAAAGAACTAGCAACATAAGGCAGTCTGAGAAAGCACAGGAGGGCTGTGGCTGCCATCCCCAAAATGAACAAGAGGTATGCTCATAACACACCTTCTCCTATTATGCTTCTGACATTCAACACTCTATGCACTATCTAATCATTTCTGGAATAAAATGAAATAAAGATGGTGTGCAAAATTGTTTAGATTGTTGAAAACACTTGGCATGATTTAAATGCCCTAGTCTTTCTGCCACTAGCTTTCCAAACAGACAATCGACAGAGACCTCAAAATGTGATATTATTAAGCAGGAATGGAATAATATTTCCAAGGGTTTGTTTTATAGCGTTGGAAGAGAATTCAAAATTCAACTAAAATGTATGTGTATATATATATACATATATATATATATACACATACATATATATGTATGTGTATATATATATATATTTTACAAAACTCTTTGATTTTTATAATATATTGCTTTCAGTATGATTTTGAGTGGTTTTGCCACAACTTTTTTCAACAAACCAGACACTGAATGAGACTTACTGATTGCTCATTTAAGTCCTGGGAGTCTTCCATGTGGTTTTCTCACTTCTCCAGCCACCCCCAAATAGAAGCAGCTTCCTTCAATTAAAAAGTGGACTATCTAAAACAAAAAGATGGAAACAAAGAGGAATAATGAAAAGATTATCTTTTTTTAATTTATTTGCAAATTACCAAAGCACACTATGATTTATGTGATAATGGATAATCAACAGGAGCATTATTTTCAAAGAACAATACTCATTAATATTATCCATATCTTATAGACTTACTGACCTTGAAAATCACACCATGGTAAAATGGGAATATGTGAACAGCTACTCAGGACAATTTTGGACACAGCCTGTAATAAACACTTAGAATACTGTTTCACTGAAAGAGATCGGTCATTAAGCTATTGGCAGATTAAAAATTAAGAGTCTGCAATCAATTGTTCACTTTCTGAAGTATATGAATTAAGAAAATACAGTATGGATCTTAATATGACAGCTTGCTATAAAGGAAACTTTGTCTAAATTACCAAATGATCATTATCCAGTTTTGAAGAATAGAGCATCATAAAATGCATGCTCAATTTTAAATATAGATTAAAAATAACACTATTACAATAAAGAAGTCATTACAAACATACATGGGAAGGACAATTCATTAATTAACCTTAGTGAGACAATCAGTTAATAATTCACAAAAGTTCATCTTTACTCCATACCATATATTAAAAAATTTCCAGGCAAACTGAAGTGTAAAATAGCTCTAAGAAAAACAGGCATAATTTCTTTCAATACCCAGATGGAGAAGGATTTTGTAACAGAAACAATGAAATACAAAACAAAAAGCCAAACAGCCTCTTGAATCCCCTCACACCTACAAGAAAAAACATCATAAAATTTAAAGGATAAGTGAAAACATAAAAAGAAATATCTGTATAAATATCAAACACAATAGCTTAATATCTTTAACATATAAAGAACTCTTAAATGCAAACAGAAATGCTCACACATCCCTATAGGAATATGATGGTCCATCATCATAAAACAAAGTTCAAACTCATAAATAAATATAATGCCATTTAAAATAATGATGATGCATTTGTGGCCCTTCAATTCCTAATTTTAAAAATAAGAAGAATATAAATTTTAAAAAATTATGTAAAAAAATGGTGTTTCTCGTGGACATCAATTAGATCTAAACTGCTACACTCAAGAACTATTTAGTGACATCGAAATTCTCTGAAGATATAACTTAACTGAAAGATTAGTATTCCAATAAGTGTTCTGCAGAAGCAACTCAGTTTATTTCCCCAGTTTATTGAAATGCACCATACACAGGTGTTTTGCTCCATTTTACAAACATCCATTCATACACTCCCTACTACAACCAGGCAGACATGGCTTTAATTTCTTCCCTTTTCCACGCTGCACTATTTTCTACAAAAACAAATCTAGGACTTTCCTTATTAGAATACAAGACATTCTAAAAATTACAAAGGAAATTTGAAAAGCATCTTGTAAATTGTTTTATGCCTAGAAGACCCAGAGATACAGATTAGAGATTTTTTTTAATCTTAAGAGTTAAAAGTCATAAAATAGGAATGTAACTTGTATGTATGTAAATTGACAGTGTCCATGAGACACTGATTAAATATACTCGCAAACCAGGAAAGCGTCCCTTTCAAGAACAACACAGTTTTACAGCATATAGGAGATGAAGGAGGAAGGGTAAGTATGCAGCACACTGAGAGGTGTGGCAGCATGGATTTGGACTCAGAAAGATAAGCAGGCGGGAGTTCAAGATGTCCAGATGTTATTTTTTGTGTTGGGGGTGGACGTGAGAAATGGTGAATGGACAACCTGGGCTCTGCCTCTTCCCTCTCACCTCCTCCCTCTTTCATCTCCCACTCTTCCCGTCTCCTTAAAGATGGTTCAGGGCATCTGATCTGGGTCATTCAGCCTCATCCTTACGGATCTCTTGCTCATTCCTCCTGTCCTTGAAGTCCTCCGTTTGAATCCTCAGCCTCTATACTCTTCCCTACCCTCGTGACCAAGACCATAGGCAGGTTCGCCTTGGGTCTGAGCACACCACAGTCAGTGCAGGCCGCTAATCCGTTGATGCTGACCTTGCTAAGACTGACACCTGCCCGCCTCAGGAGCCCTTCCTCCATCCTCCCAGAGGGCATTGTGGCGGATCATCTCCTTTAGTGGCATTTTCTCCTCACTACCTGGATTACAGACTGACCAAGTACTCCTAAGGCTGTTATTTTAAAGAAGTACCACAAACCAGGTATCTCTGACCAACAGAAATTTATTCTCTCATAATTCTGACAGCAAGAGGTCCTAAATTAAGGTGCTGGAAAGTCCATGCTCCTTCTCTAGACTCCAGAAAAGGATCATTCCTTGTTTCTTTCTCGTTTCTAGTGTTGCCCACAATCTTTGGCGTCCTTTGGCTTGTAGATGCATCACTCCAATCTCTGCTTCCATAGTCAGTGGTATTCTCCCCACCCATCTCTCCACTTGGCCTTCTTGTGTGTGTGTGCGTCTGTATCCAAATTTTCCTATTCCTAAAGGTACACCAGTCCCTGGATTAGAACCTACCCTACTCCAGTAAAGACTCATTCTAACTTGATTCCTTCTGCAAAGACACTACTTCCACAGGTGAGGGGATCAGAATTTGAACATATGTTTTAGGGGCTCCAAATTCAACCCACGACATAGCTATAGTTACCACACTAAGACGATTTTTAAGATGTCATCAAGGTTTAAGTGTAGTATTTCCAGAAAGGATACCTAACAATTAAAATAAGGATATGGACCATTAGGAAAGAAGTTACTGTTTTCTAGAAAGGACCACCATCTCAGGACAATGGTAATAACTCAAGTGAAATTAAAAATTAAGGCTTCAGAAGACATGTTGGAACATAAGAAAATTAAGCAAAAGCCAGCCTTTTTTTTTTCTTTTTGTTAACCTCCCACTGAGAATCTACTTAACATTCCAGTTGGGGAGCTATTTGCATTAATGTTCCATGTTACAACATAATACTTTGCTTTATGTTTCCTTAAAATTGAGATCGTTACTTAGTTTAACTTCTTTATGGTAACATGAATTTCTTTTTTTGCCAAACACACTAAGGTACTAAAATATTATGAGCCCAGTGATTTTATATTCTTGAACCAAATAAAACTACCTAGGTTAATTGCAGACACAGTATTATTTTACATCATAATTTAGCAATGGTTGTTATGCTAAATCTTTTAACATTTCATTTTCACAAATATATGAGAAAAAGACAAGAACGCTCTTCAAATCAAGTAGAAGAAGTATTACTTCATAATAAAGATATAAAATTAAGGAATAACAATAACCTCGTGCTGTTTTATGAGGTAATAATCTAGTTCCCAGCTCTCTTTCAAGGCCATTCCCCCAGAAAAAGGTGAATTTAAAAAGGAATAATAACAACCCCACCCATTCCATGTTAGGTTTTTTTTTTCTCCTGCAGTCAGGTTCTCAATACATAGTAAATGGATGATATCCTTTTCTCCAACTCTGCTTTAGAGAAAGTGAGCTATAAACTCCTGTGTCTTAGAAAATTAGAATTAAAAAAACCAACATCTCCCATAGTTTAAATACATAAGGAGATTCTGATATCCAGTTATAAAACAATTCTCAGAAACAGAACAGGGCAGACGCCTGGTCCAGGTGGTAGAGACAGCAAAGAGAAAAAGAAGATGTTGAGCGATGTTTGAGAAGTTTGTAGACTGCATGATCTAGTTTTCACCCTCTCGACTGAACTTTCTAACCAAACCCTCAGTGAAAAGGAGATTGTCCCAGCATGCTTTGGCAGAATAAACATGAACGTGGAGGGGGCGGCTCTCTGCACCAGGGCTGGCACGGGACAGGGACAGAGGCTGCACACGGGAATAATACAGCTCTGGACGGCACACACATGGCACAGCCTCCCACGGGTCATTAACGCCAGACCCCAGGGCTTTGTCACAGACTCCTTGCCCACTCCTCTCCAATTCCAGAAGTGACCAAGTGCTCTCAGTACCTCATAGCATTCATTCAAATCTCTCCACGTTTCTCTCCTCATGGCTGCCATAGTAGTTCAAGCCATCAATGGCCCTCGTCCAGACGGGGAGCAAGCGCCTCCTGGGGGTGTCCTTCCTCCAGAGTGGCACCCTGGACTTGACTTTTCTTTTTTTTTTTTCCCTAGATTTTTAAAAAATTTATTTATTTTTGAGAGGGAAAGAGAGAGAGCACAAGTAGGCAGAGCAGTAGGCAGATGGAGAGAGAGAAGCAGGCTCCCCGCTGAGCAGGGAGCCCAATGTGGGACTCGATCCCAGGATTCTGGGATCACAACCTGAGCCAAAGGCAGACACTTAACCGATTGAATCACCCAGGCACCCCATGGACTTGACTTTTTGCAGTGCAGCCAGAGTAATACTTCAGAGTAGAGATCTAATTGGATTCTCTTAAAATAAAGTAGATCTTTACCCTTCCTTTAGGATGAGCCAGAAATTTTTCAGTCAGTCCTACTTGAAGCTGGGGCAGCACCTAGCAGAATCCCATGCAGGAGAAGCACTAGTTTGCTGCCTTTGCTCCCTGGGGCCACTACCTGTCCCAGGAGGGAGTTCTGAAGGAGAGCTCCACCTTCCTTCTCCTCCTGGCTGCATGCAATTCCCTCATCCTACCATCCATGGACACACTCACCACAGAGCCTTGTAGCTGACAGAGAGGACTACAGCAGTCTCCTGGGAGGACGTGTGCACAGTACAGGCTCTGCGATAGTATAAAGAAAGACGGAGTGGGGAAAAGACTAAAGCCCCCACCCACATGCCAAATGCCTACGGTATCCTGAGGGAAAGTGGAAGACAACCTTGTACATGGCTGTCCAAACTGGTTCCAACCCCAGTGCAGACCCCTGACAAGTGGAGGGAGGCATATGGAGAGTCCCACCCATAACCACAGACAAGGCCCCCTTTAAACTTAGATGGGGCTTTGAAGAATCTACATACATAGGCAGAATTTCCTGGGCCAGGGGAGGGTGTCCTTCCATTACATTTTGTCATCCAGAAGAGCTAATCTACTGTTTGACTTACAGGTTTT